TTTACGTTTTCTCGATCTGTCATGATCCCTAGAGGACTAAGAAATAGGGCTCATCCCCACCACTAATTCGATGACGTCACTTCAAAATTGTACATAGTAAATGGGTTTTAAATTGTATACACCAACATAGTCCTACACATGTAGCGTATGACTCCGAATTGAGTTTTTACCCGAAACGTTCAGATTTTTGGAAAAAAAAAATCAAAATTACGAAACAAGATTTTGCAATACTTGAAATCTTCCAGATGGTTTATGTTAGTTGTGATAAGCTGATAAGCATGATAAATTTGTAATCAAAATATATTTACTTATCCCTTCCAAAAAATTGATGACGTCAGCTCAAAAGTTTGCCGAATAAATCCTTTCTAAAATGTGCAAAATTAGTCTGTAGTTGTGATTTATCATTCCATTCATATTTTTTGGATTTGCATATACCGGGTGACTCAAAAAAATTTAATCAGGAACTGCAAGACCGAATGCTTTGAAATCTTGGAGATGTTTTAAATTTATAAGCATGGTAAAATTTTGATTAAAATGTATTTTCTCATCCCCCCTAAAAATTTGATGACGCCGCCACAAAATTTTGCTGAATAAATCCTATCTAAAATATTAGATACCTCAGGGGCGACTTCGTCCAATTTAATTTTTTTTTAATAAGCAATCATAGCAATCACAAAAAAAAATGACATAGATGTCAATGCCAAATAATGACAAAATTAAAAAAAATTAATACTCGTTTTATTTTAAAAAATTTATTACAAAAATGTAATACGAAAAAAATATAATAGGCATGCAGTCGTCACGTTTCCGACAGCGAAGGAAGTACTGTCTTAATTCTTTAGACCAATTTTTTTTACAATTGTGTGTAAAGTTATACGTCATAGGGGCACGTTTCTCTTGCTCTAGTGCAATACTATAAAAAAATCTTAATTCACAATAGTTCCTTTTATGCTGTTCAAGATTCGTCCTACAAAAAAGATTCCAAAGTTTTATTTACAATTCCCAATTTTCTAAGATTGTATGTATAACATGGTTGATGAAATGTAGCTGTATAATTAACACATATCACTTCTTTCTTAATTACTGGTCTTTAAGCGTAATATAATTGAAATTAATAAGCCCGACTTTTGATCTGTATTAGCGTCAATCATCTTAAAACCTTTCTAACCTTTCGGCTTTTTCTTCTGCTCTCATTTAGCGAATCTCCTCATCTTCATTTACGAACCCATTGTAACAAAAAAACATGACATTTTTGTGTACATGAAGAAAAATATCATAGAAGCTAACATCAAATTTAAATTTACCTTTGAAATATACTAGTCATAAAAAGTTTTGAAATCAGAATATAAATTCTAAATAACGTTTTACATTTAAATACATCACACGATTCTTGGTGAAGATAAACAGAAAAAAAAAATGTAACTAACTTTAAATCCACCAAAAAAAAAAAAAGTTTCCGAGAATATTTGCCTAAAAATTCGCTAACAAACAGATGGAAACGGAAAATCGATATTTTCACTCCATGTATTGGGGAATGTCCAGAAAACGAGAAATGAAAGTTTGATAAAAATAACCCTACTACTCTACGTTTGGAAATTAAGAACATTCTAAAGTTAATTTAACCGAAACTTCAATAAACATTTACCAACAAACACAAACATTGAAAACCACTGTTTTCAATCAAAATGATTGAAACGTTTTGTTGATTCAATGAACTTCTTTTAGTTGTAGTTACGTATGTCCCAAATGCAAAAATGTTTTCAAAACAATTCTGAAATTTAAAAGTGTTACAAAACAATAATGATAATTGCCTGAATAATATTACTAATTGCAGTGATGCGCAAAACGTAAAGACTGTCCGTAATGCAATGATATAAAAATCAAAATTGGATTTAATTTTTAAATACGTAATTAACATTTAAGTGATAAAAACTATTAAGTAGATATTCCAAATTATTTCAGACCAAAAAAACAGTTTTAAAGAATAAATATCTATCTATCAATAGATACAGCTACTTCTCCCTTAATATCCGTATTTTTATATCAATTTAGAATAAAAGAACTGAAGAAATAAGGCACAATACATTGAATTATAGACCGATATATAAAACCTAAAAGCAACACTTACCCTTTAAATCCTAATTTCCTTTCGTTCCGCGCCGATCCCTGCAGACTCCTTCCTCATGGGCACATCACAACACTTACCCTTCACTTTAAGTCCGAAACCAAGTTATTTTTAACAAAAATAAACCACTTAAACTAATTTACACAAGCTCTCAACAAAGTCAAAAGCGACTGCGACCGAACTCATTTGCGTAACACGAAAAATGAACAAAAAATTATCGCCAATGACGATACCATATCAGACATTTCTTGTAGAGTTTTTCTTGACCGGTGCATCACACAATAAATGAATCGTAATTAAAATATTGCAACATTATCTATTAGCAGAACATAATTTTCACGCTGTGTGGATCAATAAGAAATTATGAATGTTACATACAATTGACCAAAAATAAATTAAAAAACTCGATTTAAACATATACGTCCTTCGAAAATATTTTATATTTAGACAGTTAACGACACAACACAGAATTCAGATTTTTTCACCATTTCTGCCAAAATACTCATATGAAATAGGTTCATATGGGGTGTTCCAACGGTCAAAGGGCGCAACATTCAACATTCGCTGCAGTGTAGAAAAAATTCTTCAACGCAATCTAATAGCGGTACAATTTAAAAGTATTTTCAAACATATAGAGTGTTCCATTTAACTTATACAACAAAGCTGTATGTTTACTTTGTAAGTTAGAAAAGTACTGTAATAGAAACCATTTGGCTACTTTCATGTTCTATCAACGTTTCATAATCATAACTCCCAGAATATAAAAAAAATTGGTCGAAGTTTATTTCGGCAGAACTTACCTCGCCCCTGGCAGAAATCCCGTCTCTTTGAAAAATTATGAAATTTGATTTTGCGGTTTTTGTTAAAACGTCGAGAAAACATAAAAGTGGACTCAATTACTATACTTAGCTTACGCTCAGGAAGTAAAAATGCAACGAGATATTTTTTTGCATTAAAAACAATTGTAAGTGTGACCCTCCTCTGTATCCGTTTGCTGTTCTGATCTGAGTGTATGGTTTCTTAGAATAATGCGTTTATATCAATGCAAGATGGAGTCCTCGACAGCAGAGCAGCCAGTAACGATCCACTCTTGCCTTTGATATTTCGATGTGTATGGTTGCTTACACAAAATGATTCAAAAAAAACAATTAATGAAGCAATTTATTTTGTTGATTATATCAAGATTAACTTTAACTTATGGGGATCATCATAAAAAGATAAAATTGGCAAAATTTAATAATTGTGATTGAGGCGCGAAGGAAAATCTCTCTGAAAACTGGAGATTAATTTGTTTGATAAGTTTTGGTGGATGTTTTACTATTCTAGTACAATATCTGTCTCTTGGTATGTAGATGTATATATACTTATATTTCGTCGTTTTGGTTTTACATCTATTTCTAGATACCTCAAAATTCTTTCATTCCAGTGGCAGCTCGTACTCTACTCTACTGGAGGCTTAGTTAATTTATATACACATATGGATGCAAATCTTCTATAAACGTACCTTCTATTTTTTAAAACGCCTTAAATTTCAGCTCAATTCTTATTTTTTTCTGTTTAAAAAATGTTAGACCACTGCATCATTATAATCCACTATGCGTGAGGTCAATATTTAAATTGACCCAACGAATAGCGAATGATAGTTGATTTTTTTGTTCATGTCATGGTACCTACATGGTACGAATACACAACTGACAAATGCGATTTTGACAAAAAAAAGTATTTTATTCGGTTTTTATTTTTTGAGAGGTTATTTTTAGGGGATTTATTGATACCATGGACGAGCCGCCACTGTTTGATTTCCCTTTTATCTTGTAATGTCTGCAAATTTCCTACTTTTTTCAGTAAAAGTAAAGGTATTTTACTGCGTGCCACAACTAAGAACATAAACGTTCAACAAGCAGACCAGGTGAGAACAGTATTGCAACAAATAATGCATCAATACTACTTAGAGAAAAAATCTTTGTTAATTAAATACAAGAGCTAGTTGATTTAGCTGAGAAGCAGAAAACTGAACAAGAGGTCGCTTAAACTAAAGTAACAGTAGGGAAATAATTATTCGTTATCGATTTACACCAAATAAACGTCTCACCTGAAGTCAGATGTCAAGTGTGTAGTAAGAACGATTTTTTTACCTAAAAACACTTGGAATTATGCTTCTAAAAATTTAACTCAGTTTCCACATCGCATCAGAGTGCGAAGAAAAATATTTGTTCATCGAGGTTGTTCTCATGTCGGGCTTGGACATAATGCCGTCAGCAAAACACTGCGAGTTCCTTAAACAAGCCTTCATTGTGTTATAGAGACAGACGAAATAAGATCAGTTGTTACATTATTGATAAAGTGGAAAGAATCTAATGGGTCGGCAAACAGTTTAACACCCACATTTTATGTTGTGGCATCCGCAGAAGGTGGCAAGAGCTAATCTGGCGTCAATTTAATTAGTTTGTTTGTGAAAACTCCATACACACTTTTTTCATTTTAAAATTTAGACACTTTGTCGTTTGTAACAACACGCTTTATGAAGCATAAATTTAATAAAACGTTTCATTGGGATTTGCAGAGTTCCACATTCGTACACTTAATCCCGCTCTCCAGATCTGTGTAATTAGTCGAAATAACTAGTTGATTAAAGGTGGTTTTAAAAAAGAAAGAGTTTAACCAGAGTAGCGATTATATGTTACGTATACAGCGCCAGCGGTCGGGATTAGAGAACTGTTCATTATACTTTTTACTTTTTTCGAAACGGTATTTATATTTAAGTACATCTTATTTTTACGTGGGGTGGGGATTAATAAAGGCAACAGATTTTTTACTGCTTAAATTAATTTTAAAGTATGAAGGTTTGAGATAAATTTCATTATTTTGTACCTAGGGTATGAGTGGGTAGGATGGCGTAACGACACCCCTGGATGGTCAGGCCACCCTTTGGAGATGCGATTTGAGTTCGACAAAGTACGCAACTTTTCCGCCGCTCATCTGCATACTAACAACCTTTTCACCAAGGATGTACAGGTAAATTATAGGCAGTTATAAATACACAAGAATTAACGTGCTCTACTTTTAACTGTTTGTCAGTTTATACCAAAACGAACATATACCTACATTCTGGATGTATACCTATAACGTTCCACTAACTTGAAGTTTTCATTATTAAGAAATTCAGTGCTATTTTAACTCTTATTCACACAGTTTGGTGAATGCGCGCAGTTACAGCAATAAGTACCTATTACATTTAACATATTTAACTTTTCACTTTAAGGCTTTCAAAGATTATTTTGTTGGGAAACACAAAAAAATATATATTCATGATCTGAGTTGAACAATTAAATATTTCTATGAGAAATGGATATTATAATAAAATTGACAAAATAAAATAGTCATAACTACAGAAATACAAGCTGTGCGAAATGTCGTGAACACCCTTAAGGGTACATTATTGAGGGATGCCGATAAATATGAAAAAAATAATAATAAAACATGTCTTTTCGATGTAAATTGCAAGAAAATAATATAAGGGAAATAGTATTTAAACATTACCATGCAGAAAAATGAACTAAACCTTTCAGAATGACTTAGGTACTGTGATAATTGAAGGGTTTAAGTATTTATGTTCAAAACAATCAAATATAATACCTACATAATGATAATAGCTCTAATATAGGTGTAAATTTATTTAATGCATATTTCTCATCTGTAGCAGATAATGTAAGCAAATTATTAGACCCGACACAAATAAACCCATCAGTTGTTGTAACTACAAACATAAAAAGTAAATGTAAGTTCCGGGAATATAGTTTTCTATACGCTTTTCTAGAAGTCGGAGCTACAATTACTTCATTAAATAATGGTCGCAATAAAAATGTTTTTTCACTAGTAGCGTTGAAATGTACCATTATCATGCTTGTCTATGAGTTGTTGTGAATTCGTTTTTCTCTACCAAAGTCAATAATTATAATTTTGATCAAGGTTAATAATGGAAATGCAATTAATCCTTCTTAATCAAGGTCTATAATAAAGACTGAGGTTATTTAATGTTTGACAAAAGAAAGTAGGCCATTATTATTACCAGATTTTTTAAATTTCTTTTACGAGAAGTGCAAAAAGTGCTAACTGCCATAACAGTATCTCGGGAGGGGTACATAATTCACTGTCTGACATATTTCGTGAAAAAATTACATCATCCAAGACAAACATTTTTTAAAATAACCCCTTGAATTTTTGGCGCACGTTTAGTATTATACAAGGTGTTAGGAAATGGTTCCGACAAATTTAGACAGTACCATTCCCTAACACCCTGTGTATTGGCTATCAAGAGGCCTTTTAGGCTCACAGTTTTGTTCCTTGTCTCCACCATTTTAGATTCGTAGGCATCTATTCTTTTCCAGTTCTTCACTTCTTTTTATCTCAGATTTGTCATTGTTGCTTTTCTCCAACTTCTTCCTGCCGTTTATCTCCAAGATATCTTCTTGACCGTTCTTCCATCCTTTCGATATGATTAATTTCCTTGATCTTATTCTGTCAACAATAGGTTCTTGATATATCTGATCACTCAATTTCACTTACTTTTTTCCGATTTATTTTTAGAGCACTTTTCTTCCTATTTCTATCCACTTTCGTATAATGACTTTGAGTTCCTCCATATCTCTCGTTATTAGGGTTACATCATCGCTGTAGCTTATAACCTGATGATTTTTTTATTTTATCGCTTAACCGTCACTTAATATTATAACCCATTCTCATTTTAATAAAATCCTGTTTTTTGTATTCAAGTCCTGTAATTCATATTCACTTAAATTATGCCCTTTTAGTTTGAAATCATTTTTAACACTTGAAAATCTTTTTAAGTTACAAAAGAGATCTATGTATTACGGCACAAATTAGTTATAGAGGCCATTTCATTATTCATTAGTTTTAAAATCATGACTTTTCCATACCTAAATATGTATACAAGGCGTCTAGAAAAAGTAAGGTTGTTGATAGATCAGGTAATGCTATGATTTATTACTGTATCAAATTTTTTGATTTCCTTCGAAATCTTGTTAAAATTATGAATGTTAATGAAAAAAAAAAAACAACAAACGCTTTTACGGTATAGAAAAATACCGGTCTTACAACTTTTAAGTTTAAATATGTATTATTGTATAATTATATTTAAATATTTAAATACATACTTTTTGTTTTTTTGTTGTATCGCCTGAAAAGAAATGACTGAGACTGTTGGCAGTACTGGTTAAACAAAAATGTGAACTTTTCTTGGGTTTATGTTGGCATAACGGAAGTAATTGTGTGACAGATATATCAATCGTGACATATGATAAATTTAGGTTATGTTTTGAATACATTTTGCAAGTTAAAAATGTCATCTATCTATCAATCTTGACAGCTGACAACCGGAAATTGTACAAAACATCATGAATTACCAATTTCAACTAAAAATCCAGTGCCAACGGTCTCAGTCATTTCTGATCACGCGGTATTTTCAACTGACGTTTGTAAGCCTATATAGATATTGTCATGAATAAATCACTGCTATTATGATGTTGTTAAACACAGCAGGAGAACCCAACTTTAAGATCACATATCACCGCCAAAAAGCGAGAAGGAATTTTTTCAATATTTTTCTCGTACTTAACGACATCCCTCGATAATGTACCTTTGGGGCTTTCACGACATTCCGGACATCGTGAATGTTTTATGTGCATTTTTCCCAAGATGGTCAGCCACCGTAGTAATATAATTGCAACCTTCTGCAAATATATTGCGTATTTGAAAATTTTGTTACATTACCAATAATAATCTTTGTAAAGTCAGAAAACTATATCATTATTTTTAAGGATTAAAATTCACAATTATTTTGAGTGAAAACAGTACCTACATTTGTAGATTTAAATTCGATTTTCTGTTTGAAAATTTTCTGTACATGTAATTAGATATTTTGTGTTATCTTTACGTGGTGATAACTAATAATCTCTGATTAGCAGTTGATATTTAACATTATAATACTAAGACATTTTGTAGAATAATAAGGTCTAATCTACAATACACATATGAACTAATTATTCAAATAAACTTCAAATCAACCAACTTATAGTTTTAAAGCATTTCGTACTTTTATGCCACTGTAATATTCACTTTTCATGAACACCCGAGGATAACTTTCTCACGGAATTGTTTAGGTATACTTCACAACAACGACAATTTCGGTCAATCTTGGATAATCCCCATTCATTTTTTTTTTTGTTAACTTAACCCGTATATACCGTTTAGGATCTTTTTAGTAAATCTAGTAATTTAGTTGGCAATTAATTTTGTATATGCAAAGATCCCTAATGATAAATGAAATTTATCATATTGGGTTCAGTTGTAAGGTTAGAAAACCTGACAAAAACTGTAACACTGTTGCCAGTAATTTCACACTTTGTATTTTCATTTTCTATTCCAATAAGTACGAGTCAAAACAACAAACACCAGGTCAAAAATAAACAGTAATAAATTGTACTGTACATAATTAAAAACTAAATGACGAATTCTGTATGCTTACATGATGTTGGAATTTTTTCTCTCAATAGAATATGGAATCCTTTACTCACAAAAATTTGTAAAGCACATTGCAGTGAGATCTAAAACTATGGACTAATGAATATAAAATGATACTAACAATTTATTTACGATCATTATAGACCTGAAGAAGCCAGCAAATAAAGCGGCGAAACGTCGGCAACTTTCAGTTAGCTTGTCTTTATTAAAACAGTGCCCAAAACCCTGATAACTTTCCCAAAATTTGCATAAAAGTATGGATGAGATGATTAAGAATAAAATGATACAACATCAAATAAAATAGTCATTTAAAGAATGTTGTTTCAATTAAATAATTTCTGAAATAAAAAAAATCATCCTCAGGCAAATTACCCTTTACTATTTTATTCCATTTCTGTTATTTCACTAGAAAAATTTGAGTCATCAATATTATCATTTTCATCATCGTCCTCTGATTCTGATTCTGACTCTGGATCAGATTTACCTAGTCAACTAATGAAAGAAGGAATGTCTTCATACGAAAATTTCCCATATGGTTTTTCCAGTCTAGCAAAATAAGTTTTTTACAATGTCCATAAAAATTTGGGAAAAGGGTCCCGAACATTGTTTTGTGATGATCTCTTATCATTGTTTTTCGGATTTAATAAAAAGTTACATCCGTCTAAAGACCCAAATTCACTTCCTGGGTGTAGAATTGTGAATATTGATCCTTCATTTTTAATTTTGGAGGGATTACTGTTTAAATCTGGTTCGTACACTCAACGGCGAAGTGATCCTGAAACATTTCGGTAAATCTAAGTTTCGTCGAGGCACACGAATGCTAAACGCTCACAAGAATTTTGAAGTTGGAGGAATTTCCTCAAAAAAATAATTTTTCTGCGGCAACAGGTCTTCGTTCACCTAAAATTTTGCAACCGTTTACTTTCCTATGTTTCTAACCCATCGATTTGAATATTTTGTACAAGGTTGTTCGCTCCTCCTTAAATTCCAAATGTTTTCGCAAATCAGCCAAAAATCACATCGGTTGTAAAGTATTCAATTTTTCCGTTGTATTGCCAAATGGCAGGACTTTTCTATAAATCATAATTTGAAAAAGTGTCAGTGAAGTTTTAAAATTTTAGTCTTCTGTGATGACAATTTTTTATGCAGTTCTGAGCTATAAACATTTGTTAATTAAGAAATATTTAAAAGCTTTAAGAGTCATAGAAAATATGTTTACTATACCATCATTAACTCTTCACGCTTAACTTGGGGACTATCTCTCTTGATTTGCAAATAGCACCTTTTTTGTTGTAGCAACATAATTTTTGGCATTTTAAATTTTAATGACAGAAGTCAGAAATGTTGCAACTTGATAACATGATTTCTCAATAACAATGTGGCAAATCAGCCTTAAGTAAACGTCAGTCTCACGCATTGACAAACCGTTTTGCCAATGAATCAGTTTATCCAACATGAAGAAAAAATGCATAGCTAATTTTTGTCTAAAAACATCCTGAACGGTTTATACACACGAATGAAAGTGATTTTTTGTTAATAAACTACTGGTCTCTGAAAGGGATTCTAATTTATTTTATGTATTTTCTAAATGTATGAGAAAATTAACTTTGTTCAGTTGAAGATGCCCCTAGTGAAAACCTCAGTTCCGATGTTTGTAGTATAACGTAAATCTCTGTATCTCAACATTTGGTTTTGTATTTGTCCCTGTTTATAATTTTAGTTTTTATTGACCTACGCCTCTGTATTGATTTTTATTACCAAAAATGCTGCAAAACTTTAATTCCATTATTTATTCATTCTTTGACGAAAATTTACGACAGTAATAGATATTTCATGTTGTACTGTTATAAGTTTTCCGATCATTAGATCGTGTTCAAAGTTAATATTTTTATTCTGAGAATTTTCTACATAAAGATAAATAGTGCTCTTGAACTCAATTTATTTTTTAATAAAAGTTTTTGTCGGTCATTGAATAAATGTTAAACTACGTACTATTTGATAAAGCAATAAGCATAAAACCCAAAGACGCTTTCATATAACGTATTAAAGTATATCTTTTCCAGTCAACGATTTGGAATTCTGGTTGTAGTCGACTTCAGAGTTATCCATTTACATCTATAGAGAAAATTTAATAAATTTATTTTTGTTGTCAATCCGTAATTACTAAAATGAACTGAAATTGATTTATAAAATACTAATATAATATTCTACTAAATTTCACTTGAAAATCCGTGCGATAAAACTTATTACGTTTTAGTACGTAAATTCGTATAGTCAGTCTCAATTATATCCATTATATTCCAAAAGGTGAATGTGCGTTTAAAGGTACATTCTTGTATTGTAAATTCCGCACATTTGAACAATATAGAAAAAAAAGTGTGGTGTCGTGACTTCTAAGGAAGGCAAAGGAATCGTCAATATTTTATTATAATTTATAACTGTAAGATACTTGAAATTTTTGCTTTGTAGTTTGGCAGGCTGTACATATACAACAAAATTTCATTATGGATGACAAAATTGTAGCACCTTAAGTGTAACGCAATCTGATTTTTTATTGCTTAAATAAATAATATACATATGTACAATGAAAAAACTGCATTCTTTCAAGGCATCAATCTACACGCTTTGTTAATACTGTTATCACAATTGAAAAGATGCGAATAACGTCATCAATTCATTATGTATGAAGCTAACACAATTCAAAATTCAAATCGTCCGAGGTGTAGGGTAAGCAGTGCTCCGTTTGTTTTCACGAAGGACGTGCCACTGCGATTCATTATTCATGATCAAAAAAAATTCTTTAAAATAATGCTGCTTAGCGTTTATAAAATTTTAATCTTTTTTAGTATGATCGAAGTATTAGTAAGTAAATTTGTTAATTTTTACGTCGAAACTGTGTGCATGTAGAACTGAACAGATCGATTCAATATAGAAACACAAATTCTTATATTTCTATGTAAGTTCTGTTGACAAACAAATTTGTTTGCTGTGTATGTAGCAATGAAATCAAAGTGTAAAATCGAATGTGATATTTTTCTAACAAAGTTGTTTTCTTCGCTGCAGGTGTTCTCGCATGCCCGAGCATTTTTCAGTGTGAACGGAAATTTATTCAACGGTGAGCCTGTTCATTTTTCGTACATGCCGGACCTGGTTTTGGAACATGCCCGTAATGTCACGATCAAACTCCACCACCGTCTCGGCCGATTCCTCAAACTTCAACTATACTTTGCTTCACGATGGATCTTGCTCAGTGAAATCTCTTTTGACTCCGGTAAGCGTCTTTAATCTTCCAACCATCCATAATCAGCCGAGTGACTTATTGTTTTACTACCGAATCCATTTTGCAAACGATAAAATGCTAACATTAATCTCTATCAAATAAATCAAAATGTCGCACGCAAAATGAACTACAGTATCGACCTCGGAGAGGCTACGCGTTCTTTAGCGAGCTGCAAAACTCCAATTAATGATACAGCCGAGAGAACATTTGACCAGACAAAATTGCGAATTTGATGAAAATATAATCCGAAATTGTTAAAAATGTTTGCCGAGTCGGTAATTAAAAGCTGCTTGACTTTAAATAAAACGAGAAGCTGGGAATTAACCAGTGGAATTTAGGAATCCATTCTTTCGTTGTCTTTTTTCCTTTTTAATAACGACGAGCTAAAATCGTAATACTTTTTTCGGTCTCTGAAATTCCTACTTTCTAAATGTTATTTCAGTGGTGATAACAGGCAATTTTACGGAGACGACGGAGGACATACCAATTCCAGACTCCGGCAAGGAATATCCGTTACAGAGAGATGAAGTTAAAAGTACGTCCAGTAAAGTAAATCGTAATACTACTGGAGTTTCCACAAAAACCGGAACTAATGAAGAACCTAAGCACTACATTGGTTTCGTTATTGGTGTCCTTACGGTTGTAATATTGATCCTCGTAGCAGCGATTGTGTTTATCGTGTTTCGAAATCAACGACTCAAAACGACCACAGGGCTTACGGCCGTGCCTAGATTGGAGAAACGAATTGAATCCGACAAGGTAAGCAAGCTACTTATGAAGTTATACACATCTTAGGTCCACGCTGCCTTTTTTGTTCCTTTCATTTTTTTTATTCATAAAGATAATCTTCTACCGTTTGAAACACTCGTATACCATTTATGCAGCGTGTCACACTATTATTAAACACTATGTTTGACTTGAATTATTATAAGATATATAAAATTGCTGTGTTGTAAAGATAACTGTGGGCATAACTTTTTAGAATTCATCAAAAATTATTTAAGATGATATTTAAAGTTTATTAAAATATGTATATTAAACGTGGAATATAATAAAAAAAGTTTCTGTTGCTAATATTAAAATTATATAATATAATATAACAATAAGATTTTTTTCGTAACTCCAAAATTCTGAATCTCTCAGTATCATATAAATTTCGCCGTCAGAAATCTAAGGGGCGAACAAAATCCAGTTCTTAACGTTATATAGCTATTGACGAATGGCTAATTTCATGTTTCCTCGATATTTCCTACCTCCTAAAATATAAAAAGTGGATTTCCCCTTTCCGTCTATAACTTATCCCGTCGTGTGCCCGTCTGTCTTGCGAACTATCAGATGGATTGTTGTGAAATTTTAGGCGTATTTTAACAAAATCGTGTATATGCTAAAACACTAACTAAAATGTGATAGCGTTATACCAAATACATATTTTGCTAAATATGATAAACCCTATCTAAAATGTAAGTAGCATGGATCGATACCTTTGGTTTATTAATCCAACATTACTTTAAACCGGGTTGCCTTAAAATTTAGTACTCGCTGTAAGGTTACCTTGCATATGGTCACATGCTAAATTCCTATTCAAAATTTGTCTGCTCATTTTTCAAAAACTTTGCAAACATTTTTGTAAAGTCAATCTCTTTTGAAAAACGTGATTCCTCGTACAGTCCCTATTGTTTAAAAGTGATGTGTGAAAAAAAGGAATGCAAATTTATCGTATTGATTAAATAAAAAAATGGAAAAAGAAAATACCAGGCGATTTTAAATTTCTGCTCTAGTTACCCACGACGCTTACATCAGCTGTGAAACGTGTTGCTAACTTGAACTGGAACGGTGTATTTTGAGTTGCCTGAATCTTTGGCGTTATTTCAAAAAATTGATCGAATATTATATAGAACTTACCTCGCCCCTGAAGTACCATAAATCATATTCAACTTTTTCGAAAAATTACATGGTTTGATTTCGCGAATTGTTTTTTTTTTAAGAATTCCTATAATTTTAAATAAAGATATGTATGCAATGTTCAAGTAAATGCGAAGAATCTTACTATGCGTATGTTTCAACTGAGTATTTCCTTTACAAAATTTTGCGATGACGTCATCAACACTTTTTCAAAGACACGTACTAATAATAACAGTATTGCATCTATTTCTAAATTTTCGGGAAAATTGAATGGGCCACTTCTGGTTTAATTAGTAAAATAAATTGACTCATTCATTAGTTTTTTTGAATCACTTGTAAATCAATGTCCTGTATAAGCAATTCTAAACAAATTGCAATACAATGTAATATATTTCAGACAAACAACCAATGGGAAAACATGTTTTCCTAGTGTTTCATTACATACATACATAATTTCGACTGGTTAAGTTTATACTTGGAAGGAATTCAGTGTTAGTGCGTTTCGATCACAAGCATTTCCGTTAAAAGGAAATCAAATTTGATTGTTTTTATCTCCTCAAAAGAGAGCAGAAGAATAATTTCATTAATTAAGTTACAGTGGAGCAAAACGGGTCGAAGTCAATGTGAATCGTTGTCGATTTAAAAAATTTGGTCGAAAGTTATTTCGACCGAACTTCCCTCACCTCAGAAGTACAATAAAACATGCAGATTTTTCAAAAAATTACAAAATTTGATTTTGCGAATTTTATTTTTTTTGAGAACCCCTGTAAGTTAAAATAAATATATGTGTGAGCACTATGCGTATGTTCCAAGTCAGCTTTTCGTCTACAACATTTTGTGATGACGTCATCAACACTTTTGCAAGGATACGTAGGTATATCAATATGGATAGGGGCGCTGTAATACTATTAATAATATTATTGTTTTCCCAAGTTTTCGGGAATTGGAATGAGCCGTTTTCGATTTTATCAAGAAAATAAATTGACTCATTCATTAATTTTTTGGCTCATTCCTCTATAAGCAGTTCTAGAAAGTATGAATGAAATGATAAATCATCAACATAGACTCATCATATTTTGTACATTCTCGATAGGAATTATTGGACAGAATTTTGAGATGACGTCATGAATTTTTTGAGGGAATAAACAGATATATTTTGATTATAAATTTACCATCTTTTCGATAACTTTAATATGTGCAAGATTTCGAAGCATTCGGTTTTACACTTTCTGATTTGTTCAATAAAATAAATTGACTCATTCATTTATATTTTGAGACCCATATATAAACAATTCGAAAAAACATGAATGGAATGAAAAATCACAAATAAAGACTCAAATTTTGCATATTATTGAGATAGAATTTATTCGGCAACATTTTGAAATGGCGTCATTAATTTTTAGGGGGTCGTAAATGGATAAATTTAGTTAACGATTCACCATGTTTCCGATACACTTAAAATGTTTACAAGGTATCAAAACGTTCAAAATTAATTTGGAAAATGTTATACAATTTTTTTTTAGTTAGCGTTTTACTATCTAAGTACATAATATATCTACAAAATTTGATAGCAATCGGTCCGGGAGTTTTGAAGATTATCTGTCTAATAAAAATCCACACAGACAGATAGACGGAAACGGAAAACTATTTTTTTCGTACTCTAAGGGTCATGAAACGTCGATAAAACATGAAAGTGGCAAGCGGCCCGATGAACTCGACTAATATACTTCCTTATCTTACAAGCCCAGGAAGTCAAAAGTTGGATTATTCATAATTGATGCCCACAAGATTTCAAATGCCCAAAAAATCATAGAAGATCTTTTATTTATAACAATTGAAATCATGAATACCACACTTAATTTACAATAATTGTTGGAGATGTTAAGCCCTCGTAAGTTGTCGATAGTATGCACAGGTTTTTTGAAGGGCGTCAAATCTGGTGTGGTCATTAATCAAATGGTCATCATAAAATTCCTTTAATAAATTTAGCGTCATTTGAGCTGTATGAGCTGTTGCGCCGTCATGTTGAAAAGAGCCTAAGCGTCATGGGCAACTACAGCAGAAATACAGAAAATAATAAAGTATTTTGTTCAGAGTAGTTCACTGGTATTATAAAAATAATACCAGACAAAAACAATTTGACTTTTTTTAAGAATTATTAAAAGTTAAGACCAAAGAAAACAACCTTGCAAGCAATACTATTTTGTAAGAAATTTTAAGCCGAAATTCTGTAGCCTGTTGAGACTAGTACCAATTGATATCAAATGGGTCAATAGTTTTTCATGGTTTCTTTAGTCGAAGAAATAAACGTTTGGACTATAGTGACGTTTTTCACAGTGCAAAGCCAGAATTTGGTCTCTAAATCTGTAAAGAATTCAGTATTGGATGTAAATATGTAATATTATTCCAATTAGTTTACCGGTTTTTTAATTTGTTATTTAATAACAGTAACACATAAATAATAAATAAGTGTCGGGTTACAAGTATTCCATGTTCGTCTGAATAAACAATGAAATTTTGTCGTTAAGATACGTTATTATTTTATGTGAGCTTCAGTCAACAAATTATTTATTTATGACAGTAGATATCATAATCAGTAACCTCTCATCGTATATTTGCTTATTGCTAACCGCTGTCTACCTAACTTAGTAAACGTAGAAATTTATAATTTATTTTTTACAGAACTGCTGCGTAAAGGACCGATTTAGAAACATTTTTTGCATGTTTGGTTTCTTCTCTTAAGGTTGTCGTCTTCTTTGTTTTTATTTATATCATACAATCATACAAACAAACAATATTTTATTCCATGAACGTTGTTAGCAGAATAACGTACGTCGAGTAAGTGAAACAACAAAAATGCTGCAAAATATGTTGTCGTTTTTTATCATTTTTCTTAGTGACACACCGCTCATCAATATTTATGCATCATACACTTCGCGTTTTTTTTTTTTCTCTTTCCATAGACTGTGTTCCAGAGTGCGACATTTACTTGGTGTTAGATTTGTGAAAGACTCATCCGATATATCTCCGTAACTCGTTCAGCATCGTGTTCAAGGAAAATGAGAGCACCTAAAAGTCATTTTTTACGGCAAACTCAGCAAAACGGAATTAATGTGGCGAAACTTTATATTGAAAAAGTAGTTACCCAATCGAAGTTCGACAAACAAACATGATTATAAAGTCAAGCAACGCTAACGTGTTTTATGTTCTGTTTTCTGTTCTTCGTAGATGGCAATGGAAGACTGCGACAAATCAGCACTTTACGTTGAAACTTGCGAGACAAATCTCTACGCTCGTCAGACACACGCAAATAGCCCCGACTACACAGGTAAGTGATTCACAGATGTAGAAATTTAGTAGAAATAATTTGTTTGATTTTGCTAAAGTTAAATTTTTTAAACTATTTTCGACGACTTCTAGCTTAAAAAGAAGAAGCTGGAGCAATTATTTAAACATGTGTTGTGATAAATGCAGGTTTGCAAAAAGACAAGTAAATTTTGTAATAATATGAGAAATCAATATTTTCCCATACTTTGCGAAAATGAAATTCCAAGGAAGTTTACTGTTGGAAGATAACTGATAACTCAATTTGCAACACACCTCCAAATGTGGAGGCAGCTGTGAAAGCAATAAACGGTCATTCTCGAGCGAGAAACAATTGCCATCCGAGTTTTTATACTTCTTTTTATACTAACTGTATTAAATACGTGTGTGGAGTGATATTACAAACGGCTAAAAGATCAAGTTTTATGTATTTTAGATTTTACAACCCATTTTACTTTTACGAGAACAAAAAACTTGGTTATTTTGGAGAAATAGATTTGTAGAGGAGGGTATGGAATAGGTAATTCCAAATGAGGTAACACCGTATTATAAATGACTCACTAATGGCATTTACTAATAAATATCGACACAATTAAGTATATATTTTGCATGTGCAAAGACTAGTATAAAAGAATTATAATTTAGTACACAATGCAGGACAATTAATTTTTCGCATGTTATCCCTAATTCAGTAGTAGCAGTTTTAACAACATGATAGAGACTTTATGTGACAAAAATTTCCTGCTGTGTTATTATTAACTCACACACAATGAAATTAAACACATTATTTGCGATACGATGGAAGTTTAAAAATTATCAATATATGAAATTTTAAGTTACTAGATGCGCACTACAAAGGGAACACAAAATGGGAAATAAATTAGTGGTTAAGAAAGTCTGAAACTGTTACATTGGTAATATTGAGGGTGAAAACCACAGGTTTTCATAATTCTACTTGGTTCTGTTAACTTGCCTAAAAAGCATTAATCGTAGCTTAAGGCAAAATTGTAAGATTATTTTTGTTTATTTTCGAGCATATTGCTGGCACAAAGATGTAACACTTAGAGGGAACAATCTTGATGCAACTTGTTGTTAATTTTTTTTCCTCTAGATTTTCTCTTTTCTCTTTTGTCGACAGTGCATAACTTCTAGAATTTGCAAGAGTAGGTCGCCCATTTCCGTCTGTTTTCTGTTAGTGACTTTATTAAACCCTACTAAACATTTTATGACGTCTTCCGAGTTTTTGTTAAGTATATTCAAGTGATTCCCATTTTTAACTTTATACATTATGTTTTTAGAAAAACTCTAAATTATGCTAAAAAGTTTTACAAGTCACTTTAAAAACTACAGAACTGAAATTTTGTATACGACGAGGCCATCTTGAAAATTTGTTAAGTAAATCTCACTTATTTAAGGTCTAATAATATATACATATTTTAGAATTGTATATACAGAATGTCCCAAAAAATAATGAATTATTCAAATTATTTTTGATTAAATCACCAACGGTTTAGCTAAAGCTAAAAAACCTTTATTTTACTCTTTAAGATTGTCTTAAAAACAACAAAATTTGCAGAAGTAAGTTTTATAATTTATCTAAGAAACTGTATTTGTGTATCAAGACCGACGAAAATTGTCTAAATAACTTTTAAAGCTTTGTGAAGTCAATAGTCACTTCCTTCACTTAACCATAATTTCAGACTGCAATTGTGTTCTTTATTTAACCCTTGTAATGTTTGTATTTGCTTCTGGAATGGATCATTGCAAAATTTAGACTGTTCATGTTCGGTGTTTTACATGTGTAATTTGCATAAATGGAGTTTTTACTGCTACTGTGACAATAATTTTTGCTATTAAATGAAATATGTATGTTGCGTGATAAACTGGGGCTTGAAGTATATGGGATAAATAAAAAGCTTTTTAAAACATCGTCAACAAAGTACTTGAAATAAAATATTTGTTCTATTATTTAGTTTCTTTAAAGTTTCAACCATTGAAATTAAGAAATTCTAAATTTTGTAAATTACAAAAATTGGGAACAATATTTAATTGGCTATGATTTAAAGCGGCGGTAATAAATATATTACAGTTTAGGACAGTATGAAAATACAGTTTGTATGTGCAATAACATATCTGCCGATAAAATATTAACAGTAAATAGTATGAGAATAGAGAGTAAACTATCTTGAAACGGGCAGCTCGATGAGTATTTGAATGGCTGAAAATCCAGTTGGATAGTAAAAAGAATAAATGGGCAGTTACGCGTAATCAGTTATTAGATCATCAATCTGCCAGAAATATTTGTGTTTTCATTTAACATAAATTAAACAGTTAGTAAAACGAAAACTAATAATAAATAGATATGTACTGTAAAAAAAAATGCCTGATGCGGTATCCATGAAAATTAATGTGAGAGAGAAACGCTTGAGAGCGAAAATTGATTCAGTGTTCAATAATTTATTGATATAGCTAATATTACGAATTTGGATGAAATAAAAAAATAAATACATTGCTACGAAAATAATTTGTTTTTTTTTTATTCGAAATATAATTTCAATTAACATCAACAAAGCAAAGATGTACGACGCCTTTGGGTTTTCTAGTATGTACATTACTAGTAATTCATCATCGCCGATGGCGGCGTTCGAACAGTCTGGAAGCGGTTCGCCGAAAGTCTCGTTGCCGCAATCCAGAACAACGTAGAAGCAATGATCGCGAACTCTCCAGAAGGAACGCGTGGCTGTTAAAGTAGGGACCACCGTCAAAAGCGAGCAGTCTAAACAAATCTATTCCAGTCGATTAATGAGCACAAGTTAAGTTGAGCTGTATAGTTAGTTGTATAGTTGCGTATTATCGAGAAATAAATTGTTGAGTTTTGCCCCTGCCGACTTAATTTCAATAAAGTTTAACAGTATGGTAAAAATAGAGATAAAATAACGCTCAACTTTTACCGAACGTTGAAAACTGGCCAATTATTTCTTCGAGTAAGTTTTGTATTGTCGATGTAAATGTTGTAAATAACTAAACAATTTTTTTTATACTACTAGCTAAATTTTGCTGCCACAATTAATTTAATTACCGGAAAAAAATTAAATACTGCTCATATGAATTAACAATTGCCTAATGTTCGGATAGTTAGGAATGCGCTTCAATATTTAGTTCCACATTAAATACATTCAATCTGTTAAAAATTTCAGTGCTGCAATGTGCTAAAATTACTCAGTTGAACAAGAGTCCAGTTTCATGGGTAAACAATAAAATCTGATGCAAGAATTTGCTTTTGGGGTAGGCGAAAGGTTAGTAAATCACAGGTAGAAAAACATGCAATGCGGAGGCTTCAGTGAGGTTATTGTATTGAAATTTTATGATGACGTCATCAACTTTTTGGTAGTGCTAAGTATACCAATCTGGATAGGCAGAGAATAATACTACCTACCGAGAGAACAATAAAAAACTATCAAAGACAGCCATGCATTTTCGAAGATTTGTTTTGATAGAATTTTGTATTGTCAGATTACAGTCATTTTGAAAGTCTGAGCGAAAAATGCAACAATCAAAGACACACTTTCAAAAATCCATCACTGCTCTTGATAGTGATTTTTTTTGCTCCCTTGATAATAACGAAAACGTTGTGTTACTTTAATTTTAGGAAAATGAGATAAGCCGTTAATTGAGACACCACGTCTCCTACAAAGTGCGAGTGTATGCAGAAACTATTTATACAGAATTATCTTTCCTGAGCATTTCAGATAGGATTGTAAAGTTTTTTCCAAAAATGTACATGCGCAATGTTAACAATAAGTCTGTATTAATAAATGATTATTTTGTGTATGTTCGGTAAGAGGGCGTTCGCATGTACAAAAAAGAGACTTGCACTTTTCCACAGCTGTCGTCCTCTTCGCTGTCGAAGAACTTTTTAATGTCGCTTCGGGCGGGTTTCACGATCTCACCAGCTACTCTCGGTACCCTTACCACAGTTGTCGGGTCCGCCAAAATTTGCATCGTTACAACGGCAACGGAAGACCTACTTTTTCATGTTCTAAAAGCTGTAAAAATTTGAACAAAACTAAAATTAGTCAGTAATCAAATGAACCCCATTACAATAGTTCCTATCCGACGCTCGAGGATTAAAAGCGGTCTGTCAAGTAAAAGAAAACAATGAACATAATGTATCTAAATACTTATGTTGCAGAGAATTTTTACTCAGAAAAGTAGGTCTAGATCTTATACTATTTCTCGTATAGTACTTTTTGTGAATTGTGAATTGTCTTTTATTACTTCTTTCTCGATTACGTTCCCTTTTTGTTTTGATCGGCACTTGTTCTATATTTGACGCTATAAACTGTCTCCTCATGTTTATAGTTTTATTTTCATTCCAAAATATTGCATGTTCATTTAAGTTTGCAAGATTTCAAACAGCTCGACTTTATCTCTTTCTTTTTAACCACTTTGTGTGCTTTTTTCATATGCTTCATCAGATAAGCTTTTGTGTTTAACAATATTTTTCTTCCACTTCTCGGAGTGCGCTTTCCTTTTTGGCACTTTAACAGTAGCCTATTCTTATTCCTCTCCTGAACTAGCAGTCACTTCCTAATCTTTATTTTTAACGTTGTCATCGCTGTCTTCTCTTGCAGCATAAAAAAATTCGTGTTTTTTGTCTAGTTCCTCATTGTCCGTGCCAACAGTTACATACATGATGGAAATTACGACTTCATGCGAACCTTTAGATTCTTTTTTAACACCAGAAGAATCGCTGTCATTATCTTCTTACATGCTTAGGAGTTCTACGCTCTTGAATATTCTGTCTCGTTATTATTTGTCACAACAAATGTGTCTTTGCGTGTGCTGAATGACTCCTGGGATAAAAAATGCGATGTTATCAATATCATAAAAAAATAGTTTTACTCTAAGAAGTATTCGACTTAATATTAGTTATAAATGAGTAACTTTTAAATGGAGACAGATATGTTAGATATGCTTTAACCACCAACTAAAGCACCTTCACATACGTGACTTAATATATTTTACTCAAAATACCCTAAATTGGACTTAACATAGTTAGAGTGTGGTTATAAAAATTTCGTAGACGGATCAAGTTCATTAAAATTTTTAATCTTGTGTGTACCTATTAGCAAAATAATAATTTTTATGGTCCATAAATTCTTTTCAAGTGAAATAACAGATTCGTGGCAATTTTTATTTAGTGGAACACTATTTTAGAACTTGAAGTTATACAGGGTGTCTCAGAAATAAGTACATTAATTTTAACCAGTAACAGAACTCGTGAAACGGAACAACTTTTTTATCTACCATTTTTTCGAAAACTCAAGTCGAATTTCGAATTTTCCCACCCATATATTCACGAGCCGTCTATGTTCACCTTAAATAATAACTTAAATAATAACAACACTACAACAATGAAGAAGGTACCCTAGCAACCGTTTTGACACTGACAATCATTTTTATGTCAATGTTTTTACTAAACGTTGTCTCTTTGAGGTTTGTTTGGCACAGATTTCTAATTTATAGACGAAATGTGTTGACATGGCTTTGTTTTCAAATCTGGAATGCACCGATATCGTTTTAACGTACGGTGAAGCTCGAGGAAACGGCACTCGCGCCCAACGAATTTTTTCAGAAAACCTGCCAAATCGTCGTCTGCCAAATGTGCGCAGTTTTAAGAACGTTGCAGCACTTTCGAGAGTACGGAACTTTTAAACCTGCACCTCAGGATCGGGGTAAGTTACGTAATAATAGAATTGCTAATATTGAAGAGGCTGTTTTGAAGAGTGTCGAAGCTCGACCGGGCACTAGCACGTATCACTGTCTAGTGTGATGTATCGGAGAGTAGTATTTGGAGGATACTCAGAGAACAAATGTACCCCTTTCAGGACCAGAAAGTTCAGTTATTGAAACTAATAGACTTACCACGTAGGCAAAACTTTTGTGAGTAGGTTAATAGAAAAATAAACGAACAAGTAAATTTTGTGTCTCTTATACCATCAACTGATGAGGTCGGTTACACGAGGGAAGGTGTTCAACACCCACATTTGGGCCGATGAAATTCCGTACGCCATTAGGGAGCAGGATTTTCAATTTCTCTCTAAATCTTTGTCACATTGACAAGATTAGGAAAATACGTATCCTAGTAACTGTTTTTGACCATAAATTATTAATTATAATAATTATTAGTATCCATGGGTGACTGAGGATCCATGGGCGGGTAACCTTAATTGGGATATAACTTTAACAATTTTTAACTTGATAATTAAAAAGTTCTTGACAAAACTTTACTAAAAAAAGTTGTTGAGTTCAATGAGCTCTATAACTGATTAAAATTAATGTACTTATTTCTGAGACACCCTGTATTCCCCACAAAGATTTATTTTGTGAAATGTTGTATATACACCGTATTTTAAGTAAATTCTCAAGTTTTAAAAAACCTCCCACTTGCTTTTAGTTCTCACCATATCCACACGTATACAATATTTACGCGAGGAGGTTGAAATAGACATTTCGTGCAACGGAAGTTTGCGGAAGGAAGTGGCTGCTTCTTATTTTTCATTACGTCGTTTTACATTTTCAGAAGTACCGGACCTGGTCTGCCAAGAATTCACTGTTCCTCACATGATGGACAAGCAGCAAGCATTCTCACAATCATCCCGGGCGCCTCCGCCGATGTTGAACTTCCTGCCGAAACCACCACCCGTGCCGCCACCTCCGGCAAGTTACTACACAGAGCGAGATATATGCAGTCCTCTTCCGCTGGTGGCGTCACCGGCCCTGTCGTCCCCTCTGGGGCCATGCAGGTCCAAAATTAACCGCCATTTCATGCTGCCCCTGAGTCCGGAACCGGATGATTGCTCCGATCAGGACGAAGACGTAGTTATCGAAATTTTCCCGCGTGAACAATTAAGAATAATCGAAAAACTAGGCGACGGCCCGTTCGGAGACGTGCATTTGTGTGAAGTGCTAGCGGATAATGGCAAATTCAGTGATTGCAAGTTCGTGGTTGTGCATACCCTGAGGCTGGAAACTTACAGGGATGAGTTTAATAAAGAAGTGAAGGCGCTAGCCAAACTGAATGATCCGAATATTGCTCGTCTGTTGGGTGCTTGTCTCAACACTGAACCTATATGTGCAGTCAGGGAGTACGCGCCGATGGGAGATTTGTGCCAATTTTTGCAAGATCACGTCGCCGAGACGGCCACCCCACTTGCTCCTACTGCCAAAACGTTAAGGTAAACTAGTTTTTAATTAATTTTATTACTTATTAGTATTACGTTGACATACTCAGTCCCATTTATGGCAGAATGGTTGAACTTTACGCACATAATAAAGATCTACCACTTGTTGATTTATATGGATGTTGGTAACTTGTTCGTGATATGACAGAAATCCCTATACGGCTCACTAAGTGCCACTAATTAAATTACATTTAAATGTAAACTGACGCAAACACACCACGTTTAAATTTAATATAATCCTGGAGAAGCAAATATACTTATCTTTTCTACTCGTAAAGGAAGTCTGCCAGACCATCAAATTCTAAATAGGTTTTCTTTCAAGATTTCTGCTATATCGTCGATTATTTTATTAAAAATACAGTTTTTAAACATTTGTGTGTACAATGGACTTTATGCAATTTTATTGATGAATACTTTACGTAATGTTAGTGAATGTAAATACTCAAATATGGTATAAAAAGAAAACAATGAGTTGCTCATTAGAAGCTCTTCTAATTCGCAGAGTGGTTCTCAGTCAATTTCTGCTTTCAAAATTTACGTTTCTATCATCCATTTCATTGTAGTTGATGGAAACTACAGCTAGCATCAGTGATTAAGTAAGAGCTACTAACTGTATAACAATTCTTCCACTTAAGCTCTCATTTCCTGTGCACAAGGGTTGTTTCTCATTGATTGCACTACGCAACACGAAAAAAGTCACTGATATTCTGAATACTAATTAAGGTTTCGTTGGATTAGTCGATTCCACCAATTAGCAACTAGTTTCTGAATTACGTCCCAAAACATAACAACATATTTATTTAACTTTGAGTACAAGTTGAAATAGGTTTTTTTTTATAGACTGAAAATTTGACGTCTGCTATACACAACAACGAGTTAGTTTTTTTAATCTGAACCACAATGTAGCGCAGTTGTGGTATAGAAATATTTTCATATTTTTATAATATGTCACAAAGTAAAATTGTCCATGTTAATTTTTTCAAAGGCATCTGTCAGTCCCTGAAAAGGGAAAAACGTCATATATTTGCAGCAAAAAAGAGATACATGCTCAAGTTCGGGAATTAGCTTGTAATGCTTATGAGTTATGTGTACACATGCGACGAATTTTTCCTGTTGAAACCGGGGCGAAGAGCAAAGAATGTGTGTCGAGTGTACAAAATGATGAAAAGAATTTTAACAGAGAGCAAAATATCAAATGTAACGCTATTGTTAGGTCACCAAAATTGGTCGAAGATTAATTATTTCGAGAGAACTTCCCTCGCCCATGAAGTCTTTGGATTATCGGATTCATTCTTTGTATTTAAACAAGTTGTAGCAACAAATTTTTGGACAAACTTTTTAAAATATACCTCTACCTGATTTATCTCCGCAAACAAAATACTACTGCGTGCCATTTTGACATTTTTTGGCTGTTTCCATGATGTTGAAAATTTTAAATATGTGGATCACAGTCATTTAGTCTTATGTAGAATAAAAGAAATCTATTACAAACCTTTTCACTTTCTTGTTTGTACGTCTACCCTTTGGTACCATTGATAGACAGCAGTTGTTCATTACTGAAAGGTGCGAATAAGGTTTTTGTGAAGTCAATTTCAGCTTACTGGAAAGGACAGAGAACTATGTATTATATATTTCTACTATTATTGCAAACAGGTTAAGGTTTTTGCCTAATGAGCGTTATAGGATTGTGCTTTAAATCTGGTACTTTTTGAGGCTATTGTTTTAACTTGGGCTGTTCTGGTAGGCAGTGTAAGAAACTTTGATTTATTTTACAACTCTTTAAGATTTTGCGTAAGCTACGAAGAAATATCAAAACGGATAAGTCATGAAAGAGGGTGTCATTTTATTCCAATATGGTAGTATTATTTGTTTCGTTTTTTGGGCGAGGTGGTGGACTTTGGAGGCTACTGAATTTTTGCTATTACTTGGTAATGTTGGTTATATAACACGACTTTCCACAATCCTATTTATCGTTTAAATCACGCTTGAATATTTTGATTCAGTCGCACAAGTGAATTGGAGTCACCGGAATCGCACCCGTTTGGTTCCTAAAACTCACTTTCAATTGTTTTTCTTACGATTCCTTGCTGCTACCACATTTTCTGTTGGCGAGAAATTCATTATATCCTTTCCTCCGTGCGGATAGGATATTTTATCAAATAATAATATAACTTGCTTATTGGTTTATTTGTGTTGTTATCGTTGTATTTGTCTTTGCCTACTTCGCTGGTATAGTATACGTTGGTAGAAGAATCACGTTTCGGTTTACTCTTTAAAAATTAAAGGTCGCTCATTTTTCACATATTTCAACATCACTGGAAGTTTTTAAATGGCAGAAATTAGGCTCAGCCATTTTGTGCGTTGTATTTTCATAAAATATCAGTGCCAGAGTTTGCTGAGATGCGTAATTAATAAAAATTTTGCAAATGTTACGTTTTTTGGAATTTTAATCAATTGAGTAGATAAGATAAAAAAAAGTTGGTAATACTTATTATTAATCAACAGAAAAATATTTCGTCGTTCAATAATTTATTTAGAAATAATTTAATTGTTGTTGCTTTCAAAAAGGCATACCTAATTAAAAAAATTTAGCAAATCTTAATTATCATTTTTAATTACTTTAAGTTGAAAAAATTAAACATTTCCTTTAGTAGTTATACCTAATAAATTATTCCTAAACAACATCTAAATCTGATGATATTAATTTTTCACCAGTTAGAAATTGAAAATCTGAGCTGAGGACTTTTCGTTTCATTTCTACTGTCAAAAAAGATCTTTCTGAAAAATTATTTTTTGCAATTGATTCTTGATTTGCTTTCCTCTATTTCTTCATATTCCGGTTAGATATTTGTAGTTAAAGTGGACTTCGATGTTCACACATTCGGCTTATTTCTTTCCGTGTTATACACACCCTCTTGACATGACAATTATTAGAACCACATAATATCGCTAATCACTAATGAACATTAATTTTAGTTAGTATTATCTTCTGCAGAACCGTTAATTAGTTACTTCGTTCTTTGTTGCTTCTGCAAATACATTACGGATGGTAATTTGTAATGGCAGCGTAGCAGAAGAAACACCGGTTGCACCGAATTAAGTAGTTTGTACATTTTAATTAATAATTCATGTGCTGTTTCGTAGTAGCAACTACTATTAGTTGAATACTAAAGTGATAGTCTCTTTGTAAGGACCCAGGCTAATAGTTACACCGTTAGTAATCTTTAGAAGGTGTATCCATTTTAGTAACCATCTCATTCTTCGTATGATTAGTTTAAATTTCACTACTTATTATATTAAAGTAGTATCGTGTTCGATTTGATTGTTGATTTAAAGATCTTAGCGCTCATTTGTTTCAATACTGGTAGCTTGGATCGATTGCTTAATAAAAAAATATACGACCCTTCAGGAGCTACTAGTCGGCACTTATTTGTCACTAATCAGCTCAGCTCAGGTAAGCCGTAAAATCCCTGTTATATTATCGCTGAGTCAGACTTCAGACACCACAACCAGCCAATATTGCCATAATATTAATAATAATCGTAACGTCCGTCTCTACTTCCTTTAATTTTAAAATTTCAGTAATAAAAATGGCATACCAATGACCTTCAATACGTCTCCCTACTTACATTCTAGACCCTCAAACGACTATTTGATTTGTGTTTTATATACGAATAATTCTGGCCATCATACTTACTGTTTCGAAAATTTCCAGAACATTGTTATTCTTTTATGACCAGAATGAAGCTTCTTTAGATGACTTTTGAAAGGCCACATAATACTATTATTGCACTTGGCATCACAACAAATTTTGTTTGCTATCTAGTTCCTATGTCTAGACCACACTTTTCAGTAATAATATCATAATTCACAACAAACCGCAACGTTGATTTATCGAAGGGATGTTTCTATAGCACATTGACTGCAGCTGATATCTCTCCAGCTAGATCAGATGATGTCGATTCGCATATAACTTTTGTCAAAATTTCGCCGATAACCAGTTCGTTACTTGACATATATTTTATTTTAAATGAGTATCTTTTTTAGACGCATTTTAGTGCTTTAAAATCTTTAAGCTAAGTTTAAATTTTTTGCACTAAAACACTTTCAACTGTTTTTATACATATCGTTTTTCCAATGGTTATATAGGATGATTTCGCAATAAATGCAATAATTGTAACCACGGCATCACGTACCGTAGTAATGTGGGAATATAAAACAAACAAATTAAAAATCGAATAGGGCAAAACCACCATACACCACCCTCGACGGATGTTTGTCCTTCCCACGATTCCATATTGTTTATTAGAAGAAACATAAGAGCAACTTAGAATACTACTACCTTTTTACAGTAAATGTTGAAAATGTTGTCCTTGACTAGCAATGCAAGCTTCAGTACTTCGTAATATGTTTGCACGGAAACGTAAAAAAATTCCGAGAGTTCCACGAACTGTACCGGGTGCCAGTTCCACTCGTCATTGAAGCTGTTGATTTCCATAAAATAACTGTTTCATCCAAGCCTACAGACAAAAATCACACGGATTGAGATCGGGTGAACGCGGGGCCACACTACTGGGCCGTTTCTACCGATCCATTGGTTAGGAAAATGGTTATTTAACCATTCAGTTACTGGCCTAGCAAAATGTGGTGGTGCTCCGCCATGCAAGTACTTCCACACTTAACTGTTCTTCCAACACATTGATTAATAACTCGAGGTACTGTGCCGCGTTTAGTCTGTTTGGTAAATGATGAGGTCCAACTAAGTTGTCATTTACGATACCGGCCAACATTTATGGAAAACCGTCGTTGAAATCATACTTCGTGATGAGCGTGTCGATTTTGATCCGACCAAATGTGAGTGTTGTGGCTGTTGAAAACAGCACTGCCAGTGAATCTTCCTTCATCCGTAAATAAAATGCAATTTAAAAAGTTAGGGTGTTCACGACATTGCTGCAACAACCATTCGCAGTAAATTACACGACGTGGAAAATCAG